CGTAGTTTAGAAACTTCGACCTATCACGGGTGATATCTACATATGTTTATATATCTTGCCTACCATATGTATAAGTTATGATTATTGCCGGCATATATAGCCACTAATACGTGTGTGTAGTTTAGGACGTGCCAACAATTCTGCCGGAAAATATCTATTAATTTGCTTAACGCACTTAATACATTATTTAACAATTGTGTCATTGCCGAGCATGGATGCGCGAATTAACAGCTCGCTATGACAATTGTCTTAACTATATGACGCTAATTAACATGATTCTACAACATGATTCGACCAATGTGTTGCTTCGTCAAAGGTATTATGCACTTGGCTCCTTAATTATGGAAGAATGCGACTTCTTGTTATGATATAATCAGGGTCTGCCCACTTCAATATGGCTGTTATGATGCAAACGTTATGCATATGGTACTCGTGTACAAGATTCTCTTCATAGCATTTGAACCTCCTCTACATTTGCGTTTCCCTAGTAAATTACTAGGAATACGAATAATGTGCTTTTAGGGGTTTCGACATTCTAAAATCGTCCTTCGTATTTTACTGAAGAACATTAACTGCCTGCACAGTTGTATCTTGCTTATGCAATCACATATGCATTTACATTATGAATTAATATCACATGTAATGTCACATGTGATATTAACATTTATTCTCACTAAATGTGTGCATATTCTATATATTTACAATGAAAATATTACAAAATAGAATATACATTGGAGAAAAAATGAATTGAAAAACATTGCTTTATTTATTTATATGATCCGAATCTTTTTTTATTAGATAGAGTTTTAAATATTTTTAAAAAATGTTGGCGCAACAGTAAAGTAGATAATTTTTATTACATTTTGCAACAATTTTTTAAAAATCATTTCAAATCACGCTTCAAATTATCGCCTCTTAATCTGTAATAGAGGGAAACAAAATAAAAAGAGAATAAATTAGTCTTAAAGTCTTTATATGAATATCCGGTACTTACAATCGCTTTTGTTAGCACTTCTTTAAAAAGTATACGGATATTATTTCCACAGAAGAAAATATCTTAAGAATTCTTGGAAAGATAAAAAGAATGAGTTGATAATAGCTAAAAGAATTCATTTGGAAAACTTCAATAAGAAACTGCGGTGTGGTGGGGTGGTGTGTGAATAAGCGATTACAAGTCTTTTTATTTTTAGGAATCTTCAAGATGTTCTTCTGGTGAAATATACATATATATATAATAACTATCTCGGACTTTGATATAGATACAAAATCAATTTCGGGGATAGAATTATCTCATGATAGATGTATTGGTACTGTCGAATGTTCTTCGTCCAGGTGATAACCTCGGGCTGATTCTTCGCTCTTCGTCCAGCCAACTCTAAGTTGAACGAACGACTCTATGCCAGAATTTGGGACTCAAAGCTCCTCGATTCACACTACTCGGAGTCCCCTGGGTAGATTTCGCGGCGCGAAGTCCTTATCTAAAGTCTCGATCGCGTTTACGTCAGCTGGAGATACACTCGAAATAGATGAACTCTTGGCCTAGATCCCTATGCGTCGATCGTTTCGATGGACGGCCAAACCCGGGCAATAAGGATTTCCACAGACAGACTTAGTATATATTTAGTATATACATATTTATATAGAGTGCCCAAGAGAGGTCGTGCACTCTTACCCAGAATTTTTAAAAAATTTAGAAATGTTCATTCCGATTCCTATATATTTTATCAGATTTATTTTTACGTGTTTTATTATTATTATACAATCATGTGTATTTCGATAACAATATCAAGTCATGTTAAAATGTTTTATGTTGTTGATCGAGTGTTTATGTAGATAACTAACATATGTGACCGTTTATTTTTTTATACAAATCTCTAAATACACGTGAAATCACTGGTTAACAATATGTTGAAATTTATTTGCAAAATAAAATCTTTGTTTGCAATTTTAATTGCCATAAGCCGTCTAATATCTATTTATAAGTATTTATAATTCAAACATACATGATATTTTCACATTAGACTATTTGTTATTTTCTAATATTTTTTATATTAAATATACATCTTCTAATATTCTTTGTGTTCGCCTAATATCTATCGTCCAGAGAAAAACGAGCGACCTTCGAAATACTCTGTATATAAAATAACTCTATATATATATATATATACATAGTCACCTATGTATGTGAATAAATATGTTGCTTATGTGTATCGCTATTTTTGGCCCCGATCGAGATACGACCCCAAAAGCTATCGGTGCAACCGTCGGTTGTCGCGAAATCCGGAAGCCGCACCCGTTTCGAGAGCTGGACGTGGACGTGCGGCCCCTTTCTTTTTATGAAACTTCCGATAAACGCCCGCTGGCAAGGATTTCCGTTTCATTCGTCATCCTGTCCAACCCGAGATCACGCGTGACGCACTCTTTTTTTCTCTATTTCTGCTTTTTTTAAAAATATTATATACTTTTATAATATTATTATTATTATTATATATTTTTTCCTTTTGCTATATTCGTTATTTCTTTTTATTTAAAACATAAATTGTGTACTATCGAAAAAAATATTTTAATAATCCAAAGACACATTCATATTGTTGTAAGTTAAAACCGTGCATTATATTACAAAGATAGATATTTAAGTTGTATAAATAATTTTTGCTGTTCCGGCTTCAAATTTAAGCCAAATGATCCTGACTTCTGTAGAATATATAATTTCGATTACAGATTTTTATCTAATTTCCTTCAAATTACTCCGAATTTTAGAACTCTTTTTTTCGCACATTTTTGTTGGACGTGATTCATTTATGCCATCGAATATCGAAAAGATATGAACGCACGTAAATCGTCAAGTTACGGCGGACAGATCTACAGAGTGTTTCCCTCTAACTATGGCAGTTCGGAACTTCCGGTCAGAGCATGTCGATAGAGACAAGCCACACCATTAAACGCCGTGATACCCCATACAAATCACGTCGATCCACGATTTATGGTCCATTCACCCTCTCTCGCAATCGCGTTATCAGCGTCGATAGTTGCATGCCCAAAACGAGGCTTCTCCATGAAAACATGCTATTGCAAGTAGTATAGGAGGACCATTCCCTTCCCTCGTATTAACGATGCATCAAAAATACGATTTCGATCTTCAACAATATTCCCATATTCCCGATTGCACTCTCAGATTATACACATGTATCGCAAATACAACTCGCATACACAATCGCTTATGCGTGATGTGACTTTCTGAGAAGTTATCTTTTACGAAGGTTCCTTATTTTTCATTTTGAATGATTTAATTCTAGAAGTATCAAAGTTTGAACCATAATAAAAAATATCAACGGGATTAAAAATATTCTTCTTTTTTATAATTTTTAATTTTGTCTCATAATATTTATGTTTTATAAAATAATTTAATTAACTAATATATTATATTGCAAACGATATAAGTATGTTTTTCTGAAATAGAAATTTCCTTTCATTTTTTATTATTTTTAGATATAATTCTGTGATTGCTTCAAACAATATAAGAACAATATTGTAATAATAATATTTTGCTGCAATTTCTCGAAATTAAATAATAATTTAGTTAAGAAATATACCTGATAAAATTTTTTTAAGAGGTTAGAGGAAGTATTCAAATTTAGATTCTAAACAGTAATGTACAATATTTGTAAATATTCTCATAGAACTTCTCTCTCATAAATTACTAACACATAGAATATTATTTTTAATTTAGCACTGAGTCATAATTACATTTTGCTTCTTCTACACTTTTTAATATATTAAGCATATTATATATAATTTACCGAAAGTCTCATTTTTTTCTTTATCACAAATTCTTTGACGGTCTTCTTCTTTAATTTATTAACTTTTTTTAAATTTAATATACTGTTAAAGCACGTTAAAATACAGTTTAATTAAAATATATTCAAAATGAATCAAGAACTACAATTTCATTTATTTGATTGCAATTCTGAGATTTAATTTATCAAAATTATTCAAATTTGAAGTTATTTAAAATTCTAAAAACTATTATAGTCACAATTGTTTTTAATTTGGAATTTAATATATGTAGTTTAAATAAAATTCTCGATCTTCAAGACATACTTCTTGTGTCGATTGCTCGAGAAAAATGTCATAACTGAAAAATTAATCTTTAGCATTTCATACTATAACCGCGCGCACGCATCTACAGATATGAGAATATATAAAAGCTTAACCCGCTTTTATTCCTAGCTATTTCCATTGCATCTCTTATTTGCATTCCAGTTTCTCCAGATCCTCCCATGTACGACATACTGCGAAGTAATAGCTACCAAATTGAGATAGTATTTTTGCTGATACGTTAATCTTAAACATTTTATTTAATTCGTTATGGTCCAACCTCCCTTTTTAATTTTTCTCAATGTTTACGTAATGCGTGACGCTCATATTCGTTGCAGATCGCAATCTAGCTAAATTACTAAGAGTAGAATGAGAAAGTCTAATAATGTGCAATTTATTGCGTTTAATAGCATGCAGGTAATTAAAACAGATAAAATTCAATTATTTTTCTCTAAACCATGTTAATTAAAATGCGTATAAAGGATAAATAGATAAATTAAATGTAATCACGTATAATTAATATAAAATTAACGTTAAATTTAACGTTAGAAAAAAGAAGCTAGAAAATATAATAAAACTCTTTTAATTTTATAAATTCTATGTGGTTAAAGATGAAGTTAAATTTGTGAACTATCAAAGGTCAATCAAACATATAAAGGTATATCAAACATATATCACAATATTGCATATATTGTGTAACTATGTGCATTACCATGTAGCTAAACTAGATCGTAGAAATATCTTTACATCGTACAATGTGTTATTTATTTCACGCAATACGTTAACATAACTTCTTATTTCTTTTTAGCTGCGATAACAATTCGTATTACAGATCGTACTCTCCGTCCCGTTTTTTATTTTTCATCATTCTCAGCTTTCTTCTTGTTCTTTATTAATGTCAGGAGTGCCGGCGATGTACTACCACGGAACAGGAAGTGAGAATGCAGGCCGCGCGTATACGAAGGCGCCGATGCAACATGTCCAACGCAATGCACTCCGGAAGACATGTATGAAGTCGACATTCACTTTGCTCGAAATACGCACTTCGAAACACTTCCTTTTCTTTCTTCGTCTGTCTTTCATATACATTCACATATATGCCGCGTATCCTTTTCCGTCGTCATCAGTCTCTTTCTCTCATTCTCTCTTTCTCTCATCCTCTCTCTCTCTCTC